ACTGGCCGCTTGTGGCTTCCCGGCTGTTGGATTTGCCTCCTCTTTCGTCACACAGGGATTCCTGCCTACATTGTAGTGCCCTGGACAGCCCCGCGCTGTAAGCAAGCCGCCATCCGCGCCTACGGTGCCACGCTGGTGCCGTGTGAGCCCAGCGACAAGGTAAGGCACGGGGGAGACCAGCCAGGGACAGGGCCCAGCCAGACTGAGAGGCGGCCATCTGCACTCTCCCCCTTAGTCCAGAGCCGAGACGGCAGCTCGCGTAGTCCAGGAGACAGGAGGAGTCATGGTGCACCCCAACCAGGAGAGCCGCCATCCGCGCCTACGGTGCCACGCTGGTGCCGTGTGAGCCCAGCGACAAGGTAAGGCACGGGGGAGACCAGCCAGGGACAGGGCCCAGCCAGACTGAGAGGCGGCCATCTGCACTCTCCCCCTTAGTCCAGAGCCGAGACGGCAGCTCGCGTAGTCCAGGAGACAGGAGGAGTCATGGTGCACCCCAACCAGGAGCTGGCGGTGATCGCGGGGCAAGGCACTATCGCCCTGGAGGTGCTGGAGCAGGTGAGGGAAACGCATAGCCCGGACCCAGCCCAGGGCTCTGCTCCTCGCAGGCAGGGGGGCAGCAAAAGGCAGCGCTCACACTTCCTTTCTGCACAGGCGCCCGAGGTAAATGCAGTGGTGGTTCCCGTCGGAGGCGGAGGAATGATTGCAGGAATAGCAGTTGCCATCAAGGTAGGCAACAGCTCATCCGGGAAGCGGTGACTGCGTCTCCCCGTGGGAAGGGCGGGGCTCCCAAAGACGGGCAGCAGCCGTGGAAATCCTGCTGTGGAAATCTGTGTGTGCCTGCGGTCTGCACGGCAGCAGCACGGCCCACTTGGCCCCCTGCGCGTGCAGCAACAGCGGACAGGCACGCACTAGTTTAACCCGAGCGGCTCCTCCTGCTCCCCGCAGGCTTTGAGACCAGATGTGAAAGTGTTTGCTGCCGAGCCGCGCAACGCGGATGACTGTTACCAGTCCAAGGTAAGAGGGGAACTGACCCCCAACCTTCACCCGCCGGATACCATCGCGGATGCAGTTAAAACCAGCATCGGACCAAACACATGGCCCATCATCAGGGATTTGGTTGATGACGTCCTGACAGTCTCGGAGGAAGAAATCAAGGTAAACGCTCCCGGCTGCCTTCTCACGGTAGCTGCCAGCAGGCAGCTGCCTCCATCCGTGCTCTGCCCCTCCGCTCTCCCAGGGCAGCACAAGCCCCTGCACACCACCACAGCTGTGCAACACCCACGCTGTCTCCAGCTGGAAAGGGCCGGCGGAAGCTCTGCTCTCCCTTCCCAGAGCGCTGCGGAGAGATGCGCACACGCAGTGCCCTCCGCAGCCCTGGAGCAGCCTGTACTTGCTGCTGGGATGACAGCTGCTGCTCTGTCCCGACAGCGAGCCACGCGGCTGGTGTGGGAAAGGATGAAGCTGCTGATTGAGCCAACAGCGGGTGTGGGAGTGGCAGCTGTGCTCTCGGAGCAGTTCCAGGCAGTCCCCCGGGACGTGGAGAACGTTTGCGTCGTGCTGTGCGGGGGAAACGTGGACCTGAGCTCCCTGACCTGGCTCACAGACCTCTCTGGGAAAGCGGAATGAGAACGGAGCGGTGTCTCAAACAACGGAAACCTCACTCTGAATTTCTGCAGTCTGGTTTGTGCGCTACTAAAAACAGATGAGCAACCCCAAACGTTGAACGTTTTTGTGGAGGGCTAAGGGAAGCTGGCGTTGGTCTCTACAGCACCGAGCCGCTTGGTTTCAAAGCAAAGGGTCACTACTGGGGGGGGAAGGGGGGGGGGCTGGGAGCAAAGCACTGCCTTTTCGTCCCTCCCCCCTGCTCTGGGACAGGCCTCCAGTGAGCTGCGCTCAGTCACGCTCCCCACCTGCTACTCCACCTTTCTTTCTCAGCGTCAACAATAACGTCCAGCAAACTCCTGTCCTCAAAACAGCAAAATCCCCAGACCCACCGCTATGGTAGGGCAGGAGGGAAAGACAACGGCCCCAGTGGGCCACGGGGGTCACAAGAGAAGGGGTCCACACAGCCTCCCCCATTTGGCCTCCACAGCCGGCCACCACCAAGACAGAGGCACTTAGATGTTTTTTAAAACATTTTCCATTAAAATAAATAGCTGTAGCTGGTACCTGAGCAGCAGCTGGTGAGACAGCCACCCCTGTACAGACCCCAGCAGTAATACGTCCAAAACATCAGTGCTGTCCTCGCTGCGCACGGGCTGAGAACAGCATCTGGGGAGCTAAGGCACAAACTGCATTAGCCACGCTGAAGACTTATTCCATTTCCACCTCCTGCACCGGCAGCGCGCTCTCGCTCCTCACCCACGGCACGGGCTCCGGAACGTGGGGGTCATAAGTCCATTTAGGAAAAACACGCTTGTAGAGGCTCAGCAGCGTGTCCTGGGACTTTAGCTGTCCATCGAAGTGGCACTTCATGTGACCATGGGTCCCTAGGCAGAGAGCAGAAGAGGCCATTTAGCTGTCTCTCCTGCCCAGGAGGACCACATCCTGCCCAGCATCACAGAGCTAAACAGAACCAAACCTACCTAATGGCTCTTTGATGTGTCCTCTACGACCCCACTTTGTCCTCAGCTCCACTGGCTTAAACCACATCACATCCTCTGGAGATCAAAACACAAAAGGCAGGTAAGAAACAGGCTTTGTTGCACCAACACAACAGGGGCAGGACTTCTGCTTCCGCATCCCCTCTTCCCACCACACAGAGACGGGCTGTACCTCTGTTAAAGAACATGTATCGCACGACAGCCGTCTTGGTAAAGATCTTGAAAGGATGGCCACTGAGCACCAGCCGCTTGATGACGATTCTGTCTGGGTCCACGGAAAGCAGAGAACCCGTGGCGATGAGGTCGTGCATAT